CACAGCCGCGAGGAGCCTATTGTGATGCAGACGCCCGGCTCCCCCGGCAGAGAGTCTGATCCCTGAAATCTAGAGAGCAGAGCCCAGGCGCATGCTCCGTGGGGAGCGTCCCAGGGACCCGATGCCACCGGCTGGGAACGTGTCCGTGGCCCTGCAGCTGCCTCTCCGTCCGCCCCTCTCCACCTTCATTTGGCCCCCAGGTCTTCAGCGGCTTTTCTGAACTCTAGACTCACATGGTCCCATGGGGCAGCCAGTGGCCGTGTGTGGCTGTTGAGCACTGGAAATGTGGCTGTGGCGACTGAGAAGCTGACATGTTATTACATCTCACTTTAATTAAAGTTTAAATTTAGCCATAGGTGGCTCATGGCTGCCGCATAGGACAGTGCCCATGACTCTGCTAAACCAGAATCTAATTACTCGTGAGAAAGGGTCCGGTCCTGGCTGTGCTTGGGGCCACCTAGTGGGGGCCGGCAGCTAGGCTCGCGTGTCGGTGAGCGTGGATCTGGGTCCTGCACTTGCCTGGAGCGCCCAGGGCAGCGGCCGTGATTCCAGGAATCTCCGGGTCAGTTGGTGGCTGTGTCACTGGCCAGATCTGGAGTGATTCCTGCCCCTCTGCCTCCTCCCTGCTTCTCAGGACGAGGTTGCTTTCTGCCTGACGCCCCTTCCCCTCAACGTGCCTGTGGTCCCAACACGTTATACCCACACGTGGGCCATCGCAAGAGACGTTCATGGGATTGTCAGGATCATGGAGATACTATGTAGGTAAAGTGCCCGGTAAATAGAAGGTGCTTCAAAGTGGACATTGCCTTCTCCATTCCCTGGTAGGAGGAGCTACACTGGATTCCACGCACAAGTGTACACTGAGCATGAGGGGCTCACGGCACCGTGCAACCCACATGCACTCAGAGTCACACAAACCCGGGTCCCCGTCCTGCCCGCTCACTCCCCGGGCGCCTCTCTGAGCCTCAGAATTTACCGAATGCAGATGACAATGTTGAACTCACGAGTGTTGTGTTTCTATGAAGAGGAAGGGGAACCTAGAGAGATGGGCGCAATCCTGGAGTGTCACTTCCAGTGGATTCCCAAGAATAATCAGTTCCCGCCTCCGTGTGCACCTCCGAGAGATGGACATGGGGTAGGTTTTAGTTCCACCTCCTTCTCTGGGGAGCCCTTTCCGCACTGAAACCCCGAGGAGGTGACAGGGAGAGACGTGGACTTCGTAAGAGGCACACGGAGGGACAGGGACAGAAAGGGACGCGAATGATACAGGGACGTGTGACAGTGTTTTTTAAACATTTAAAAAGCTTTTTTAATATATGCGCGTTCTCAATGCAGTGCCTGAAACACAGAAGGCGATCAACAGATGTTAGCTTTTCTCTCCCACTGACCAAAGACGAACTAAAAAATTTCTATGTGGGACTCGGTGTCAAAACTTAGATGGTTTTTTAAAACTGGAGCAGATCCAGGTCCACTCCTCTCAGGTCTGTGGGGGAGTCCTCAGTTTTTTAAAAAATGTATTTTTATTGACTTCCAAAAGGAAGAGGGAGGGAGAGAGAGAAACAGGAGAACCACTGATTGGTGGCCTCTTGCACGCCCCCTACTGGGGAGTGAGCCCGCAACCCAGGCATGTGTCTTGATCGGGAATCAAACTGTATATAATCTCCTGGTTCATAGGTTGATGCTCAACCACTACTGAGCCACGCCGGCCAGGCCTCAATTATTTTTAAAATATATTTTTATTGATTTCAGAGAGGAAGGGGGGAGGGGGGGAGAGAGAGAGAGAGAGAGAGAAGGAGAGAGAAACATCAATGATGAGAGAGAATCATTTGTCAGCTGCCTCATGCATGCCTCACACTGGGGATCGAACCTGCAACCCAGGCATACGCCCCAATCCAACCGTGATCTCCTTGTTCATAGGTTGATGCTCAACCACTGAGCCGCACCGGCCAGGCCTCAATTTTCTTTTAATAAAGGAAACGCCGGAGCAACCTCTAGGCCCCTTCCCTGGCCTCCGGACCTGGGACTTCTCAGCCCTGGGCACTGGCAGCAAGAGGCTTTGTCTAACCTGCTTGTTGTTAAAGTTCGGGGAGGTGAAGGAAAGTATAAAGCAGCAAACAAAGCATGAACAGCCCGCAGCCCCTGCCGCGCCCCCTGGGATGCCAACACCGTTATGTCCACACACAGGCACCGTCCTCTGGGCAGGTTTCTTTCTCGTCTTTTTTCTTCGAATTTCTTCTTTACATAGTTGAAATGCACAATCTTTACATTTTTAAAAAATTTTTCATATTATTACATAAGGGTGTTTTTTTTAAGTTAAAAAGTGTTTGGGGTTATCAATACTTAATTCTAGGAAATTTTAATATAGAAATTATGAAACAAAAAGTAAAATTTCTCATTTTGTCTGCCTGTGTACCTGATACTACAAAAAAGTTTCAAATATTGAAATGTATAAAGTGGTAAATGAAGCTTCCCTTCATTACAGCCTCCCAGTGCTGTATAATAGTAGATAAGTCTTTTTTTTTTAATTTATAAAATTGAAAGTGAAATTTCTCTGTAACGCTAGCTACCGGTAGTAATCACTACTAGTTTTAGTGTGCAATCTTCTAGGTTTTCCTTTTGCATATCAGTGGTGTCTGTGTGTGTGTGAAGTTGCTGAACTGGAGTTGTGCTATAAATACAGTTGTCAGCTTGCTTTTTTCACTTACTAATGTATTTGAGTATCTTTCTATAGTGTAAGCATTTTCCAGTGTCATTAAAACACTTAACCGAATGGCATTTTAAATGGCTACATAATGTTTTACATTTAGATGTGCCCTGTTTTATGTAGTCCTTCTCTAAGGCTAGCAATTTAGAGCAAAGTAAATATTTATTCACATGTCAGATTCTTTCCGTAAGCTAAGAACCAGACTGCCCCCACTGAATCAAAGGTAAACATTTTAAGGTTTCCTTTCCAAAGAGAGTTTATCATTTTACACTCTCATCAGTAGCTCACAGAAATATGTCATGGCTGCAGTCACGACTGGGATCACTTAAAAAAAAAGTCTTTGTTGATAATCATAAATGCAAAGGCTCTTGTTTAATTTGCATTTCTTAGAATGTGAGAGGGTTCAGTGCTCCGCATGCTTAATGATCTTCCCCATGATTTTTGCAACAGAGGTAATCCGCCCTCTATTAAAACAACAAACGGAATTCCCAGCCCAGATTCTTGGGCTCAGACTCCTTAGAACTCCCTGGGCAGACTCCTGGGCTCAGAGCTGGGGGCTCAGGCTGGGGGCTCAGAGCTGGGTGTCTGCTGCCCCCGTGGGTGGGTCCGAAGCCTCACCTCTCTAGGGCGGCCTGTGCGGGGGTTTCAGGCGGCCTCTGGCTCCCTCTAGCGGCCTCACCGGCAGCTGCAGCCTCACCTCCTTTCCTATCATCCCCGTGGGAAATCCTAGAATGAAGAAAACTAGTTAAACTTAACCTCCAAGGCTGCCAGGGGGTTCTGTTAGTGAACTCTGAAATCACGGAATTCTGAAAGCACTCGTCTTGTTCCCCTAGTTTAGCAGAGTCAGGAGATACTTGCGAAGGTTCTAGGACCTTCTAGAACATCTGAAGTGTATGAGTGCACATAGAATTTTGCCATCATATACGTGTGTGTGTTTGTATATCCAGGTATATGCACACACACTCACACACACTTCTATACCTCCCTCCCCTTGTAAAGAATTTTAAGTATGTCGCTGGGTCCTTAAATGTCTTTTTGAAAACAATCCTTTTTTATGGCTGCCTAATGGAATAGATGCTGTCGTTTATTTTATAAGAATTAGATGCCGCTCGTTTCTCGTAGATGTTATAAATGATGCCGGGATGAAGAGCCTTTAAACAATTGAACTCTGCCGAAACTGTTTGGCTCAGTGGATGGAGCGTCGGCCTGCGGACTGAAGGGTCCCGGGTTCGATTCCGGTCAAGGGCATGTACCTGGGTTGCGGGCGCGTCCCCAGTGGGGAGTGTGCAGGAAGCAGCTAATCGATGTTTCTCTCTCATCGATGTTTCTAACTCTCTATCTCTCTCCCTTCCTCTCTGTAAAAAATCAATTTAAAAATATATTAAAAAAATAAATAAATAAACAATTGAACTCTGATTATTGTCTTGCAGTAGAATTTTTGGGTCAAAATCATCAGAACTTTCTAAATTCTATGAGTATTTCATACCAGATTTTCTCTCACAACCTTGCTCCAAGAAAGGGTGTGTGTGTGGGGGGGGGAACATAGGTGATACTTTGAACAATAAAGACTTAATTTAAAAACAAACACACACCCTCGTGGCGGGGAATGTCTGCCTGCCAGTGTCATTGTTAGTGCTGTTCTCCCTAACTGCTGCTGGTCTGACTCAGCGCAGGACATTATTTTAATTTGATTTTTTTTTTCCTTAGGCCGGAAGCTGAGAGGAAAAGCCTTTTATTTCGTCAATGGCAAAGTGTTTTGTGAGGAAGACTTCCTGGTGAGTGTGACCCCCAGGCCTCCCTCCCCTCAGTCCTGACCAGAGCCGGGGGGGGGGGGGGGGCAGCAGGCGGGAGGCCCGGCCAGGAGAGGAGGGTGGCCACTCTGCTCCCGAAAGGGGCCCTGACCCTACTTCTGGAGATGCGTGGGGTGGCCCATGTGCCCGAGGCAAAGGACAAGCCACGGAGCTGTGTGCTTTGAAGGGACTTGAGGGTCACTCGGCCTGTCCTCTTGTTGCTTCGCCCACTTCTGCCTACTCCATCCCTTGTCCCCAAAAACCCTCCGGACGGGGATGCAGGCCTTCCTCACGTCTCCCTCTGCCTGCCCTCCACGGACCCAGCCTCCCCCACGCATGGACAGCCCCTCCGTGTGCAGCCCTGTCACCTCTGAGGCCAGCTGCTGACATCCCACCGCCCACAGGAGAGTCCCAGGCTGCCCCCCAGCTCCTCCCACTCCACTTTCCAGAAGCAGAAACATCACCTCGCCTTGGGTCCTCACCTCGGAGAACTGTGTCCTAGGCTCCTAGGTTCCTCCTGTCCCCTCCTCCTTCCCGCCGGTCCCAATGCAGCCACACACACAGCCTCGTGCCACCAGGCCCTCCCTGGGCCTGCTTAGTTGGCAAGGGCAGCGTGGCCCCGCCCAGATGGCCCAGTGCCCTCCTCCACACTATCTGCCCGTGCACCAGCCTTTGGGCCACCCCCAGGGCGAAAGCATGGGCAGAAAAGCTGTCCGCGTTGGGAGCCTGCCCCTCCCAGCCTGTGACACGCTCATTCTGCACTTGTTATGCTCTGCCCGCCGGCCAGCCTCCCTTCCTGCCTTAGGTTGTGCCCTCTCCTCTGCTTGGAACGTCTTCACCCTTTCTTTGCCCAGGTAATCCTGCAGCCTTCCTTGTCCCTCCTGCCCGACACGGGCTCGTCTCCTCTGTGCAGCCCCCCACCCTGGCAGACAGCACACAGCATCAAGTCCGTTTACAAGCCTTCCCCTCCGGACTGGGGAGACTGTAGCCCCTCGGGAGGGATGAGCGTGCTTCTCCACCTTCAGGCCTTGAGATCCGAGCTCAGTGCTGAGCATAGAGGGCGGCCGGGAAAGGAGCTGAACTGAGCCTGCGTTTCAGGGCTGAGGACTGTGAAACCCAGAGGGGCCGGGGCAGCTTCCTTGTGTGGATGGATTCCTGTGACTTCCGTTTGACGGGCACAGACACGCACACCCAAGCTGGCTTAGGCCAAAAGGAAATTCACCCCCGCAAGGCCTCCGGGAGTCATTTTCTCTTTCTGGCCCTGCCTCTCGCTCTCTCTGTGTGAGTGTCAGACTCGGGTGGGCACTAAGCGATGGCCTGATGTGCGGGGCCCTCGTTTGTCCGGAGCCTGGCCAGGCAGTTCCTGGGGTCTCCATGGCTCTGGTTGGGTCTCATGGCCATCCTTGGGCAAAGTCATTGGTGCTGGCGGAATGCGAGGCTCTGATTGGCTGGGCCGAGTGTGTGCCCCACCTTGGAACACAGTAGGGGGTCAGTCCCACAGGAGTGGTGGGGTCCCGAGTGAAAATGCAGAGCTGTTGTTACCCCTAGAACGGGAGAAGGTGCCAGACAGCAGAAACCACAACTGGTGGGGAGTTGCAGAAAGTTTCCCTTTTTCCTCCCCACCTTCCTTTCCATTACATTTCCCCCGTTAAGTAATATTTGCAATATCGAAACTCTATTATCTCCCAGGTAGTAGTATCTCGTATGTTTTCTGAAGAGAGTTCCTCGTTTCTTTTAAGACTCCTGCTGCGTGTGTGTGTGTGTGTGTGTGTGTGTGTGTGTAAAGTAGATAACACCAGATTTCTTTAGTGTGTGTGTGTGTGTGTGTGTGTAAGGTAGATAACACTTACCGGGTTTCCTTGAAGCTAACTGTAAAAGGCATTGGCCTTTTAACCAGAAACTGACTTGAATTTGAATCCTGTCCTTACCCCTTAGAGGCTGTGTGACCTCGAGAAGGTCACGTAGCCTCTCTGAGCTTCCCTTTTGAGAAACGGTTAACATGTATGCTGCAGAACTGTTTTAGGATTCGTTGGCGTGGTGGTCTCAGACTTGACTATGCCTCAGAATCCTTTGAAGGAAAACACAGATTCCGGGCCCCACCCCCTGAGTTTCCAGTTGGGCTGTATATCCTAATCATTTGCATTTTTTAGAGTTTGTAGGTGCTGCCTGGGAACTCCTCTTAGAACGGCCTGCTGGGATTCAGGCCTCTCTGCCTTGCCATGGGAGCCCAGGTGTACTTCCTAGGACAAGTGGTGTTAGTAGGCGTCATGGCTTTTGTGACAGAAATGATTCCATGAGTCATCACACAGCTGTGCTGTCCTCGGGGAAGTGACAGATTCCTGAGCAGAGTGACACATCTTTCTGAGAACGGCATTGTTATCCTCATGGCTGGCCGGGGAGAGGCTGGATCCCTCGGCCCTGCCTGGGTTAACTCTCTCTCCTCTTTCCTCTGTAGTACTCTGGCTTCCAGCAGTCAGCTGACCGGTGTTTTCTGTGTGGCCATCTGATCATGGACATGGTGAGTAGGGTCAGCTGAACAAGATAAGAGCCCGGTGAGAGGGGGAGGCCCGCAGAGAACAGAGGAATTAACCACGGAGAGCCGTGTTTCCTAGCTCGACGTGTGGTTGCAGTTTTTATTAACATCTGGTTGTACGGAAAACAGATCCTATGCAATACACCTTGTTTGGTGTAGCAGGACCCACAATGTTGGCTTGCATGGGTATTCGCATCCTCAGCCCTCCAGTCCACACAGTGTTGTGTTTCCCATGATCCTCTCTGCCCTGGGCTGTCCGCACACTGGCCTCCCTCTGATGTCCTGTGATCCCTGCAGCATCCTAGCTGAGACGCCCAATGGAACCTGTTTTTACTACGGAATTCTCAGCTGCCTTGGAGTCAGGCACAGAAAGTCAGATAAACAGTGTTTTTCCCCTTTGCTCTGCCCGGCTCAGTCTGTTCCTAAAACTTAATTTAAAAAAATATTTTTTTGTTGTGAATCTTCACCTGAGGAGATTTTCCCCATTGCTTTTCAGAGAGAGTGGGAGGGAGGAAAGGAGAGAGGGAGAAGAAGAGAGAGAGGGAGAGGAAGGTAGAGAGGAGAGAGAGAGAGAGAGAGAAACATAAACACTGATGTGAGAAAGACACATCAACTGGTTGCCTCCTGCACCTGCCCCAACCGGGGACAGAGCGAACTTGAGTCCCAGGTATGTGCCCTCGACCAGGAACAGAACTGGAGACCTTTTGGTGTGCAGGCCAACACTCTAACCACTGAGAACACCAGCCAGGGCCTAAGATGAATTTTTGAACCAGGGGAACAAGGAGCAAATTTTATTCATTCTGTTCCTTGCTGAGCCACTGGCTCTCTGAGCGCGTCCTGGGCCGCAGTATCTTTCTCTCTTCAGCGGAAATAGTTCCCCTTCCTGGCCTCCTTAGAGCAGTGTGGGGAGCCTTTTTCCTGCCTATGGCCATTTGGATATCTGTAACATCATTCATGGGCCATACAAGATTACCAACTTAAAAATCAGCCTGCGGTATTTGGTCAAACATTTAATTAGCTCACCCCTGATGCCTTGGCAGGGCCAGACCCAATGATTTCCGAGGCCTTACACGGCCCCCAGGTGGGCGTTCCCCAGCCCTGCCTTATAGGGTAAGGCTGTGGGCCTAAGGAATACGGAGTTCTTATTCTGTCTCGGGGATCAGGTGCTCACCAATGCAGAGTGGCCCTGTAGGTTTTATTTAATATACTAGAGAAAATGACATAGAACTTCGTTTTAGTTGCAAAGAGTTAAATCCCTTTTTACTGATCCATTCATTCCTTTCAGGAGAAGGGAATTGCTAAGTGTTGCCTTAAAAAAAACAACAACAACAACCATTTTTATTGAGAAGCAACTCATGGAGTGAAGGACACACACACCCCAAGTGTGCATGCAGCTGAGTGAATTTTTACACTTACAGAGCCATTGAAATTCCCTCCCGGAGTTTGTTTTTTTTTTTTTTAAATATATTTTATTGACTTTTTACAGAGAGGAAGGGAGAGGGATAGAGAGTTAGAAACATCGATGAGAGAGAAGCATCGATCAGCTGCCTCCTGCACATCTCCTACTAGGGATGTGCCTGCAACCAACGTACATGCCCTTGACCGGAATTGAACCTGGGACCCCTCAGTCCGCAGGCTGACGCTCTATCCATTGAGCCAAACCAGTCAGGCCCTCCCGGAGTTTTTATGAACTCAGAAGGAAGGTCCTGTTTGGCCTCCTCCCGTTTATACATGTGACTGCACTAGCTTTCCTGCCCAGTCGCCTCTTGACCGTGGTCCACGTGAAAGTTGGTGTGTGTGCCTCGCGTGGCATGATTGTTCACGTGGTCCCTCCGCCTGATGTTCTCCCTTCCTCGCCATCATCCCGCTGAGTCCCGCCTGGTCCTTTGTGTCCCCAGATCCTGCAGGCCCTGGGGAAGTCCTACCACCCCGGCTGTTTCCGCTGTGTCATCTGTAACGAGTGCTTGGATGGGGTGCCCTTCACCGTGGACTCAGAGAACAAGATCTACTGTGTCCGCGATTACCACAAGTAAGGAGGGCCGGGAGCCGCACGTGTGAGCCACGCGGTGGGCACACAGCAGTGAGGCTTGTCTACAGGCAGCTTGCCCGTTAGCCCACAGCCCGGCAAAGGCCTCATGATTTGAGGGGTGGAGCAGGGGCCTCGGAGCTCAGCGATGTCTGTGCAGACAGAAACTGATTAAAGAATTATGTTTACTGGAAAACAAAAAAAAACCACCAAAAACCCCAGATCGCATCCTCCAGGCCCTGTGGCTCCAGCTCTGCTAACTTAGAAGGCGCCGGTTCAGCTGGCTCCACCCTCGGTGAGCCTGGGCCTGTACCAGGCTCCTCAAGGGGAGAAAGCAGATGGTCAGTCTCTGTTCCGAGTAGAGCGAGGGGCCGGATGTGCTCGTTAGCGCTGGGGATGGGTCCCGAAGAAGCATGAGGAAGCCAGTCCCAGCGAGCGAGCCAGGCCCTCTGTCCAGGGCCGGAGCGGGCAGGGCCGGCCGGGAGGAGGGCTCCCAGGAACCCTGGGCCTTGCCCTCCAGAAGCACAACCTGCATCTCACGGCTTCTCTGCTCTCCCCACAGGGTGTTGGCCCCCAAGTGTGCAGCCTGCGGGCTCCCCATCCTTCCACCTGAGGTGAGATGCCCCTCAGACCCGGGTCGCCCACGACAGGAATTTCTCCTGGGGTCATTTCCAGGCTCTGTCCCTTGTGTCCTCCCCAACGAGCCCCTTTCTCTTTTGCCCGCTTCCCCAGCCCAATGCCCTCCTGGTGCCTGTTTGTCCCCCGCAGTCAGGGCAGACTCGCCGACGTAATGCTAACTCCTAGCGTAGAAGGTGAGCAGGTGGCTTTTTCAGAGTCAACGACATCCCAGAGGGTGGGACCCCTGTCCCTCCATTTCCCATAAGTCAATGTGCCCTTTCCCCCGTGTTAGTATCTTCTCCTAAGGCCGCCTGCTTGTTACTCAGAATCCCCCCCGCAACACCCTCACTGCATGTGGAGCCCAGTGGGCCCCCCAACTTCTCGTACTCGCTTTTTCTCTGTCCAGGGCTCAGATGAGACCATCCGTGTCGTGTCCATGGACAGAGATTACCACGTGGAGTGTTACCACTGCGAGGTAGGCCTTGCCCTGCCCAGGCCCCAAACCCGCGTAGCAGTCCAAGATGGAACCGGCCCAGTTGACTGTGGCAGGAGGCGGTTATGTTCGGGCCTGGGGCTGCTGTCAGAGCTGATGGAGGAGATGGGATGGAGCCTGTTCTGGGGGCGGAAGGGGGAGGAGAGGTCGGAGAGGATGCAGATGTTTGGGCATGAAGGTCTTCACTATTTTCTCTAAGGCCTGAGTCCGTGGCAGCTGCCCCGCCTGAAGCTGCGGAGTGGGAGAAGCATGGGGAATGCGGGTTCAGGTCCTGTTTGGGGGCCACGTCTTCAGGCAGGTGTGCGATGTGGGGACTAGACCCCCTCCCCTCCAGCTTGTACCAAGCCTGTCAGACATGCGGCCGGCCCGCTGGCTGCGAGTTTGACATGCCTGTGTAGGCTGTTCCATCTGCCAGGAGCCTCGTTCTCAGCCGAGCCCTGGAAATCATGAAGAAATTTCGCCTCCACCTCACCCCCCTTGGAAACAGGGATGTGGCTGATCGGTGTGAAGGTGGTGGTGGTGGGGGGGGTGCATCTGCCCTTCCCTACCCTTGTATCACCCTCAGGCTGAAGGAGCCATGGGTGCCCAAGAGCATTAGGCCAGCCAGGCGTCACTCCTCATCAGCCTTGTGAAGGGTGCAAACGCTTAAGAGCCCGTGGCCTTCCAGCCAGAACTAAGTGCAAGGAGATGAGACTTATTTTGTGATGGGCGGGGGGCAGGGGAACAGGGGTGTGGGTATCGACATCTCCGTCCCACCCACTGGCGCTGAGGAAGTAGGTGGGACTTCTCAGTGGTGCCCCAGGCGCTGGGGGCAAAGGTGAAGTTACAAGCTCCGCTGTCCCCTCCGCACATCCAGACCAGCGCCGTCCAGTGGAAATTGAGAGCCACAGATTCAGGGCCTGCGTGTCATTTTGTTTCCTAATAGCCACATAAAAAGGCAGAAGAAATAGTCGGGATTGATTTTTGTGATAAAATTTATTCAGCCCATTCTATCCAGAGTGTTACCATTTCAACATGTATCACTATAAAACATTTTTCATGAGCCATTTTAT